TGATGTCCCAGCTGTAAGGCAAAGGCATGAGGCTCAGCTCCAGACAGGAGGCACTGACCCGCTATGGCTCTGGGGGAACCGGAGCCTGCTCTAGGGACCAGCTCTGCTCACCCTCCCAAACCTTTTCCTGTCCAAGCTCCTTGCCCGGGGGTAGCTGGTCCCAGCACAGCACACAGCAGGAAAGCAGCACCAAACCCACGCACCTTCTCTAGCTGCAGCACAGCCATGGGGCAGAACCTCTCCCTGCCCGTGCATCGCCAGCCCTGTGCAGCAGGAGCCGTGCACCTTGGCCCAAGTTGCGACAGCCCATGAATTATGCATCGGCATCTGCAGAAATCAGCCATTTAACGGCCGACCAAACCCACGGACTTCCTGCCAATTAATCCTGTGCCACCAATTCCCCGCGGGCTCTGACCTGTCTCTGCCTGCGGGATGCAGCAGCGGCTGCCGAAAGCTCGGCTCCAGCCCATCCACCTGCAAAACCCAGGCTGTCCACGGGCAGTGGTACCCAGCAGCATCACCTGCATGCCCCTCGCCCCGTGTGCAGCTCTGCCCTGGCATACGCTTGGAGCAGCATCCCCTCTGGCAGGGACCCCTGGATCACAGCTTCTGATCAGGAGAGGCCACAACACCCCACGAGAAGGGACTCATTGGCATCAAAGGGCTGCAGAGAAGCCAGGACAGCAAAGAGAAAAGAGGGAGAGGGGTAGAGGCGGCAGAGGGAGGGAGGCAGCAGACAGAAATGAGGCAGAGTCAGGCAATGCTCCCATCACCCCGCGGAGGTGCAGCATCCATTGAGGGCAGGCGCTTTGGCACGGAGGGGACCCCACGGGAGCCCCTTCACCAGCACACCAGTGGAAGCTCTTTCCCCACCGTGACTGGGGACCTCTGGGGAGCTCAGGCCTGGCTCGAGGGTCAGCCCAGCTTCCAGCCCAGCCCCACTGCAGGCAGCAGCAGCAGAAGCAACAAGCGGAGGGGGGTCCTGTGGGGCAGCAGCAGCAGCACAGAGGAGGCAGATTAGTGGGGGAGCAGGGGGACGGGCAGCACGCTCGGTTCCCATGGACCAGACATTGGAATGTGTCACCCTTCCTGGGGGCTGCTTCTAGGAGGAGGGAACAACCCACACATTGCCACAGCGATGCAGGCAGCTGGCCCTTGGCAGGGATGTGCATCCAGGGGTGTTCCTGTGCTGCTCAAGGAAGCAACTGGCCAAGGGAAAGAGCTTTTTCTGGGCATGAGCAAGGTGCTGCCATGGTCTTGGGTGCAGTCCCCATCCCAGTCCCCCTCCCTGGGATCCGTATAGCCACAGGCACAGCACACAACCTGCCACACACACATGCAGCCTGCCTGCCTCCCACCCCATCACTCCATCCTGCAGCTGTGGATCCCAGCACTGCCCCCTGCACACACTGTTACCTGGGACAGGCGAGCACTGACACCCCATCCACTCCCTAGGAATTAAATGACCCCCCTTGTGGGTGGAAGTCCTACCCCACAGCGAGCCGGGGAGTTTTCCCCCCACCCAGGTGATCACAGGCTGTGAGCAGCCACGACAGAGCCGCGGGGTTTGCTGGCAGCAGAACCAGCCCCGGGCGCAGCCCTAGATCTGCCCATCACCTGGGACCCGCCTGCAGCAGCGGCACCGTCAGAGCACGGCTCTTCAGCTTCAGCCCACAGCAGGGACCGGAGTCCCAGCTCCCACTGTCTTCCTGCCAACCCCACTGACCCATCCACCCTTCGGTGTGGGGGCAGCTCAGCCCCATCTCTCGTTTCTTACTGCCAACGGGAGAGATGCCTCTGACACACCCCAGTCACTGTGCTGGTACCTACAGTTTTCATCTTACTGGGTGGGCTGCTAACTAAGAGTTAGGGAGTCCCCATCCACCAGCCATGCCTCGGGGGCCAGGAGGAGCCCAAAGCCCTGCAGATGGTGTCTATAGCAATTGCTCACCCCTGCAGGTGCTGCAGCTGCCTTGCAAGTGGAGCAAAGTGGTTGCTCGAGACCCCACAACATAACGGGAGGGAGAAAGCAGGGGTGAAGAACTGGGGGTTAAAAGTGAGCCTCCACATCCCATCTGGGGCACCAACAACCCCAGAGGCACATCCCTTATCCTTGAAAACAGCTCGGAGCTTTGACCCACCCCAAACAGCCCAGGTACTGACTCCGTGCTGGCACAAGCCATCCATCCCTGCTCCCCAAGTGCTCCCCAAGTGGGGCTGGAGCAGCGCTGCTGCCCGCACACCCCTGTGGAGCAGTGGGAGGGAGGGAGGGAGGGAGGGAAAGCTGCCTCCGAGCCCCCCTTGCCGCTCACACTGCCGGGATGCGGGGCTGGGGACACGGTACCTGTGCTCCTCAGGGCAACGCGGCTCTGCGCTCCCGTGTCGTCCGCGTTGAGGGCCATGTCCAGAGCAGTCCCGAGACACTGGCTCTGGGCTCTGCTCGCACATTAATCACTCATGTCATTAGAGGGGCTGGAGGAATAATGTAATTTATAGATGGCTTTTATTTCTCGCTGGCGTCATCCAAATACCCCACAAATGGACCCGTTTCATTTCCTAGCGCTGCAACGTAAACATTTCTCTCCTTAACACCCCGATGGACTCCCAGCCCCAGGCTCGGCTCCTGTCCTCACCCCACACCACTGCACCAGGGCCCATCCTGGGGCACCCCAGCACCTTCAGCCTGTGCCCCCAGCACACGGAGCCGGTGCTGCTCTCCCCACGGCTCACACACACACACACAGAGCTTTCACCCGCTCGGGTGCCCTGGCCTCTCACACACACATCCATGTGCTGCTGGCCCACGCAGCCCATGGCTGCTCTGCCCAGGGACCGCTGGGGATGCTATGGGGAGGAGGGACTGTCACTGCACCCCGCTTTCAACAGCTCTTGACACGTAAAAACCAGTGCGCTGCTGGGGGTTCTGCCCTGCACATGGCTGGGTCTCCTGTTTCTCCTTAGCCCCTGTCCTGTTGGAAGGGGGATATGCATAGATGGGGGCTGATGGTCCCCAACCCTGTTTCTGGGGTGTGATGGGGAGGCAGCAGGACCAGCTGGAGCTGCTGTGGGGCTGTCGCATCGCCTCACATCAAATCATCCCTCAGTTAAGAGCTCTTGTGTGGCAGCTGTCCCCCACACCCTGGCAGACCCCGATGGATGGGATTCCCCAGGGCTGCAGGAATACCCCGAACTGCTCATGCCTGTCCCCAAGCAGGGCTGAGCTTCCAAACAGTCAGTGCCAGCAGGGACCCTCCCATCTGCAGGGAGAGACTAAGCCCATTCTGGCACTGTCAGATTCACTCTGGGGCTTTGCTACAGCCCCATGGGCATCCCTGCTCCTCACCACATACCCAGGGTACCAAGGGCCAGGTTAAGGCTGCATCCCCTCTCCTCCTGCCTGCACTGCATCCATACTCTTTCTGGGAGAAAAACAACTTTCCCAACACAGGGAGGGATGGATGGCTTCACTGAGTGCAGCCAACACAGGGGAGATCCGTGCCACTGGGACCAGCTTCCTCCTCCCCGGTGTCACCACCGGCTCTGCCCTGGTTGGTCACTGACCTGACAGCTATGGCAAATGAGTGACATGCCCTCCCAGTGCCTCTGTTTCCCACTCTGGGAAATGGGGTAAAGATACCCAGCCTTATTCCCCAGAGGCTTCCCAGCAACCCCATCCCTGTGGGAAGAGGCTGGCACAGAGGCAGGGCTCCCCTCTGCCCAGGTTCCTGCTGCACAGCTAGCTCTCAGGTAAGCCTAGGCATAAAAGGTCTCAGCCTCAGAGAGAGTGGGGTTTATTTTTAACTTCAGTTTGATTTAGATCCATATGGACACTTTAAAGTTACCGGAGAAACCAAAAGTTGTGTGTGGGTTCCAAGTTCCTACACAGCTCAAAAATATCTTCCCTACCGCACGTTTGGGCAGGCACCAAGCAGCATCCCCAGGCGTGGGGCTGCCCAGGGAAGCAGAGCAGGGTCCTGCCCTGTGCCACCACCACCTCCTCGCAGCTCCAGAGCAAAGCCTGAGATCCGCTCCGGACCATGGCAGGAAAAGCATCACCAGGGCTCAGCGGAGCCGCCTGTGCACACACCTCAGTGCCTGCGGCAGGAGGGCACCCAAGCCCCCCGGCTACGGACAGGTTCGGCTCCATCGTGGGTCCCGGGAGGCAGGTGGGAACTGCGGCCCCATTTCATAGCTGCTGCGACACGGAGGCCCTGAAAGGGGATGGGATTCGGGCTGATCCATGGAGAGCACGTGGGGAAGGGGGGGTGTTGCCTGCTCCAGCCCAGCTGCTTCGCTATCGGACAGTGGGGGACGAGGTGCGATGGACGGACAGATGTGGTGGGATGGGGGATGCCAGCCAGTTGCCTGCTGGGGCAAAGGATGGAGGGGGATGCAAGGGTGTCACAGATGGGTCATATTTGGCCTCCCTGTCCCACGGCCACCCCATCCCGGGAATAAAGCATCTCTGGAAATGCTCTAAGGGGACACTGGGTGACGGATAGAGAAGACAACAGGCTCTGTGGTGCTGATGGGGTTTACTGATAGGGGTGAGCCTCTCTGTTCCCAGGAAACCTGCTGCCAGGGTGAAGCCGTGCCACCCAGGGTGCAGCGGGGGGTCCGAGCTATGGCAGAGAGAGCCCAGTGCCAAACCTTGGTGTCCCGGGGGTCTTGGGAGAAGCAGTGAGGGCGGGAGAGCTTGGGGTCGGCCAAAAGCGATTCAAGCATCCCACCCCGCGGCGGGGGCCTTTCCCCGGCCCGGCCGGGATCAACGCGACCGCCCCCCGGAGCATTCCTTCCCCGCGGGTCCCGACTGTCCCCCTGCTCCAGCGCCGGTCTCCCCTCTTCCCCGGGCAAGGCGTGCGGCGAAGCGGGGCGGGCAGGGGGCCGGGGCTCAGCCGGGTCTGGAAGCGGGCGGGCCGGGACTACCGGGGTGCCCGGGGGGGACCCCCGCGCCGTGGTCCCGAGCGGCTGCTGCACCTTCCCCGGCTGGCGGCACTCACCCGTGAGCTGGTCGTAGGAGCCGTCCAGGTCGTGGGAGTCGGACAGGCTCTCCTTCCTGCCCTTGTTCCGCATCTTCCCGGCGGCGGGGGGAACCGCGACGGGGCGCACGGGCTCCGCCGCCGGGCAGGGGGGGCCCGCGCCCGCCGCCTCCCCCCGCCCCGCCGCCCGCAGCACTCACCGCGGCAGCAGGAAGGGACCGGCGGTGCCGGGGGCTCGGCTCGGTTCGGCTCGGTTCGGCTCGGTTCGGCACGGCTCGGTACAGCAGGCAGGAGCGCGCAGCCGCCCCGGTCCCCGCCGCCGCCGCCGGGGCTGGGCACGGCCGCCCCCTCCCTCCCGTCCTTCCCCGCCTCCTCCCGGGAGCCGTCAGCCCGGCCCCGCCGCCCTGCGCCGCCGCGGGGAAACTGAGGCACGGCCGAGGGCGGCGGGGAAGGGCTCCAGCGGGGAGGCTGCTCCGCGCTGCACCGAGGGCTCGGGGTAGCCCCATGGGGACCGCACGGGGAAGGGGCTGAAGAAGGCACAGGGCAGGAGGAGCGCAGCCCCCCACACTGCGGGGGAGCAAGGGCACCCCAAGCCCTGCGTGTCGGTGCCAACGGGACCGCAGGAGCTACAGAGGAAGGGGGATCCCAGCCCTGCCCAGTCCGGGGCGGCTGCTGGGTCTCCCCCGGATGGGAAAGCGGTCAGAGGCAGAGGGGACGCGCAGCGACCGAGGGATGCAGCAGAGCTGTGCCCGATTCGCCTGCTTGCAGGCAATAACAGAGGCAGATCCCCTCCGGCTGCTCCCCACCCCGAGTATGGGTTTCCCACTCAGGAACCCTTCTTGGGGCTTCCAGATGGGTTTTTACCCCATCTTCCGCAGCCGCGTGGGAAGGGTGAAGCAGCAGCACACACTGGGGGGACTTCCAGAGGCCAGGTGCTGCTAAAGGAGCTCACAGCCCCACCGGTACATCTGGCACTGGGAGCTGGAGGTCCCGCTGCTGCCCCCGGGTTTTGCTGCCATCTGTGCACGATGCCATCCTGGGAGATGCGGGCTGTGCTCAGGAGTTCCTACTACACTCAAAGCCAGGGGCTTTAGGTGCACTGCGTGCTTGCACTGTGATGGGTGCTGAGCACATCTCAGGGGCTACCCAGCTCCCAGCGTTTCCCACCTCTCCTCCCTTCATCCATCTCATCATCCTCTTGGTCTATGTAGAGACACAGAGGGGAGTAAGGCCAATAGGGGAGGCAAAGCGTTTCACCCCGATCCCTGGGCCCAGCCTGGGGCACAGGGCGGAAAGGGAATCCAGAGCAGCGAGGAGGGAGGGCCGCGCTCACGCGGCAGCGTGTTGTCAGCGTGCTTTGGTGTCAAGCCATGAAAGAAGCCGCCTTAGCGAGGCAGCGATGCTTAGCAACTGCCTGGATCTAAAAATAAGAGCCATTTAGCGAGGAAAACGCAGTAGAGAAATGCTCGGAGAACCGAACACATTCCCCCAGCCCTGCCCATAGCCCGGCCAGCGCCGCAGAGCCCGTGAGCCCTGATCGGCTGGAGAGAAACTCCCGGGACAGCCCTGCCGATGCCCCCACTGCTGGACCTGACAAGCAGGGCTGGGGCACAGGCAGCTCGCACACCCCGTGCGCTGCTGGGGTTGTCCATCCTGCTGCTCCTTGCCTGCTTTATCCTCCATCCTCTCCATCACAGCCACCTCCTCTCAGCACACCTGGGGACCAGGGAAGTAGCCTCAGTCAGCTGGGCTGCAGGTGCTGTGCCCAGGTTCACCTGCTCCATCTCCAGCATCCTGTGGGTCCATCCTGCTGCAGACGTGGGGGCCCAGCAGAGCTTCATGGGGGAAGTTTTCACCTTCTGCCACCCCTGGTCCATCGGGAGGCAAACGTGGCTATTTTTATCCCAGCTAAGTGCTCCTCTTCTGCAGGCAAGCGAGAGATGCTCTGCCAGGCTAGGGAGAGGGGGGAAAGTTGGGGGGTTTGGGGGTACCATGGGGTAGGATAGGGCACCCCCAGGCTCAGGGTGACACAGCCCACCCTCCCTGCTGTGTGAAAACAGGGGACACAGCTTGCTTGCTCGCTGGTCACGGCTCCTTTCCTTAGCAGACACGAGGGCTGGGCTTCCTGCCAGGATCCGCAGCCTTTGAGCCTTCCTCTCCTAGGGGAAAATGCAACATCGTCCCCTAAATGTTCTTCTGGGCACTGGGAGCCGGGGTCTGCAGGATGCTGGGGTGGGAGCAGCCCTTTCTGCTGCAGGAACGGGTCTGGTCCCTGACTGCTCACCCAGACCCAGGCAGGGACCCAGATACACCTCAATAAACAGGGCAGGGGTCCTGTGGAAGCACCCAGGTCCCTGAGCTCGTCTCTGGGAGAGCAGCAGAGAACCACGGGGTAAAGCCAACACCAGTGTAGGAGAGGGATGGAGAACAAGGAGGCGGGCAGGAGACACAAGGGGGGATATGAATTGGGGCACGAGGGGTGCCGCACCATGAGGCTGTGTGTTCCTTGAAGGTTCCTTGAACCCTTGTGGTTCCTGGGACCACCCGTCCATCCTCACCATGATGGAAATCACCCACTCACATCAGTCTAGGAGGGAGGCACGTTCCCTAAGTGGCCCATCCGTCACCCTGTCAGCGGCAGCAGCGCCACATCCATAAAGGACATCTTCATGGGATTAATGCTGCTCCCAAGCAGTGGAACTGCAGCCAAGAATGGCTGTGAGCCAGGGTGAGAGGGGTCGGGAGATGTGTGCGGGGTCATGCTGTCCAATGGGCTCATTTGTCCCCAGCTTAGGCCATCTCAGCCTTGGTGGGAGGAACTGGGGAAGGGGACAAGGTTGGGATGCTCCAGTATTGCCCAGAGCATTGGATGCAGAGTCCTGCTGCTGGCAGAGCTGTGCCAGGCTGCCACCAGCATTGTCCAGACCCTGGCTGGACCAAGCAGAAAACCCCAGGCTCAACACAAAACCCAAGACAATCCCAAAATGCTCCCATCCACAGAAGCAAGAAGAGCCTGGAACAGAGGCAGGAGCTCTGGGGTCTGCATCCCAACAGGCTAGGGTAGAAGGATGCAGGGAGCTCTGCAAGCCCTCTGCAAACATCCTGCTGCAGCTGCGACAGTGGGACAGGGAGAGGGAAAGATGCGATTTAACACTTCATTAGGTAACCACAAGGCATCGATCTGCCCTACCAGCCTGCGTGTTGTCTAATTGCATATCTCCGTTCTTATTAATTCTATTGGAAAAGCAGGGAGCAAGACTCGGGAGTCTGATCCTATCTTTAGGAAATTTCAAACAGAGATGTAATTACCAACTACTCTAAATCATGGTGCTTTATCCACTGTTAACAGTATTTTAAAGCCATGGTCATCAATAGCAAGTCCTCGGGATGCACTCTCAACAGATGCCATTAATCTTATTTTGACTGCAATCACCCAGTGCCTCTGGGCTCAGATTTACACTTGGCAGTGAGGGACAGCTCTGTTTCTCCAGCAAAGCAGGCTCCTGGGCAGCCTCAGGCTGGGACATGGGATGCAGCATGGGATGCTCCTAGAACCAGCCCCAGTGGGCAGAGACTGGAGCTCCTTAACCCAGCATCACCCTTGCAAAAACGCCAGCAGACAGCAGTGTTACATGGGGATGAGCAGCTCAGCACCAGGGCTTTTCCCCACCCAGGTCCCACACAACCCCTCAGCCTGGAGGAGGGATGCTCATGGCCATGCAAGGGGCTGCATAGGAGCTCCAGGCAGGGCAAATGGCCTCACTCAGGTATAAACCACAGTATTTACTACATCCACAAAGGAAATGGATGTGGGTGGCACGAGAGCTGGACAAGCCCCATGCAGCCCTGGGGTCCTGAGGGAGGACACAGGGAGCAGCAGAGCAGCAGGTACTCCTGGGGAGGACACGCATAGGGGAGGACTGCTCCCATCTCCATTAACCCACCCTGCAGAGACACATAGGAAGGTGGGAGCCACCGTGAGATTCAGACATGGGGGGGGATTTCAGCTGCGGAAAACCTTGCAGATCTAGAGGAGGAACAGATGCCTGCAAGCTGCTGGGAGAGCCTTGCAAGTGGGAATGCTGCAGGAGAAAGGGAACCTCCTTTGTCAAATACAAACCAGCAGGTGGGAGAAATCTGGATGCACAGGAGGGAGACTTCACATCACTCTGCGTGTCCCTGAAAGCCAGTCACCTGCCTCTGCCCATGCCTCCAGCAAGGAGGGACTCCCTGGCATGGCCACACTGCTAGGGGGTCTGCAGGGGTTCTGTGCCCACCCTGACTGTTTCTCTGCTACTTGTGTGTGAAGAAAAACACTTGGTTTAGAAAGCAAAGGCTGCTCTGGAGCACACTTGGACTCCGGAGGTACCCTGAGTCTCACAAACCCTCCCAGCACTATAAAGCATCTCTCGTAAACGTTGTGTGCTCAGTGCCTGTGGGATCAGCTTTTATTTAAACCGGAACCAGATACTATTTCCATCCTTAACTTACACCACACTGGATGCCACACCAGGGGCCCTTTCAGCAGCTCAGGTCTGCTCTGAATACAGCTGTGCACCTCTGTCAGGAGCAAGTTTGTGCTGTGGACACAGGTCTTGCTCTGCCCAAGCTCACCTCCATGGGAGGGGATGTCCATGCTGTGACCCCGGTGTCACACACACACACATTGCTCTTTGGTCTCCATCCCACTGGCCTGGCAATGACCATAAAGAGGATGAAAGCAGGGCACGGCATGGTGCAGACCGGTGCTGCTGGAGCATCACTTGCCCCAGGCTGGGGGAGCAACTGCCTTAGAGCTGCTGGGCAGGGAACAGCCACAGCTGCCATAGTAAACCTCACCCTGTACACTGCTGGGAGGGCGCTGGTTGAACCCCAGAGCAGGGGAGCTCCAGCTAATCAGTCATTAATTACTTGAGAGAGGAAACGAGCAAAAGCCAACCTGCACATACCTGTAGCACAGTGACCCATGGGCCCCAGGACCTGGCCAGGCTGCACATCACTGAGGACCGGCTGGGGGTTCACCCATCAAGCAGAGCTGAAGAGCCAGCCCAGCCCAGCCCAGTGTGTGTCCATCTCCCTGCAGCCTGCCCAGCCCCTCCGTGCCCCCACAGGGCTCCCGGGCTCTGGGCAGCGCTGCAGTGAGCAGTGAGCCCGGCTCATTTAATCTATTCAATTGGATTCAATTTCCAGCCCCATGATTCAATTAGCCCGGGGGGGACAGCACAGGAGAGCAGGGGCTGTGGAGAACGGCCTG